TTATGCTCTCTGCATGATTTGATATATTTGATAATTTGTCATTTTCTTCATCTTGAGGAAGTCCCATCTTCAAGTTTTATTTACTTCTCTAATCATACCAATCCATATAGTGTGTGTGTGTGTCCGTGTCTGTGTCCCCATTCCTGTGTGTGCGTGCATGTGGAGGCCAGAGGTCAATGTTGGGAGTCGTCTTCAGTTGTTTTCCACCTTATTTTGTGAGACAGTGCCTCTTACTGAACCTGAACCTGAACCTGATGCTCATTGATAAGGTTATACTAGCAGCTCCAAGCCCCAGGGATCCTCCTTGCCTCTGGCTTAGGGATTACATATGTGTCCTGTTGTGCTTGGCTTTTTTTTTTTTTAAATATATGTGCTGGAGATCTGAGCGCAAGGTCATTATGCTTTTTTTTTTTTTTAAATGTGCTTGAGTGTAATGCCTGCATGTATGTGAGTGCACCATGGAGGTCAGAAGAGGGCTTCGGATTCTCCTGAAACTGGAATTAAGAATGGTTCGTAGCTGCCATGTGAGTGCTGGGAATTGAAACCGGGTCCTCTGCAAGAGCAGTCAGTGCTTTTTTTTGTGTGTGTGTGTGGGTCTTTTTGAGACAAGGTCTCTCTGTAGCTGCAGGGATTTGCTAATGGAGACCAAGCTGGACTCTAACTCACAGAGATCCGCCTGCCTCTGCCTCCAAGTGCTGGGATTAAAGGTGTGTGCCACCATGCCTGGCTAGTCAGTGCTTTTAACCGCTGAGCTATCTCTCTAGCCCCTCATTATGCTTTTGTGGCAAGTATTTTGCCAACTGAACCATCCTCTAAGCCCTGTATTATTTTATTTACTTATTTACATTTAATTAACTAATTTTGGAGACTGAATCTCACTGTGTAGCCCTAGCTGGCCTTGAACACACTATGTAGACCAGGTTGGCCTGGAGCTCACAATGATCTGCTTGCCATCTGCCTTCTGAGTACTAGGACCAAAGGCATGTCATCACATCCAGTATCTGTGTTATTTTTAGAAGGACATTGGTCCTATCACAAGTACCTCACCTTCTTGACCTCATCTAAACTTAATCACATTTGGTGTTAGACTTTCAACATAATGAAGTTTGGATACCCAGATATTTAGTCCGTAACAGCTTTTTTTGGTCCATCTTTTTCCTCCATTCTTTTTTTCTTTCAGTTTATTTTATTATTTTAAATCACATTTTAAAATTTATTTTGTGTGTAGGTTTATGTCCATGCTCTAGCAAGCACATGTGTGGAGGCCAGAGGACAACTTGGGGGAGTGTGTTCTCTCCTTCTACCTTGTGAGTTTGAACTCAGATTGTTAGACTTAGTGGCAGGTGCCTTTGTCCACTGAGACATTTCTTGGTACTTTTGTTTTGTTTTTGAGATGAGGTTTTGATATGTAACCCTGACTGACTTGGAACTTGCTATGCAGGACATGCTGGCTTTGAATTTGGAACATTCCTTTTGCCTCTGGAGTGCTGTGAGTGTAGAACTACCATACCAAGCTCTTTGTCCATCTTGAGTGGCATTTCATTCATTCATTCATTCATTCATTCATTCAATCATGTGTTATGTGTGAGATTTATGTATTTATGTGTTGTTTGTATGTATATACCTGCCACAGTGTGTGTGTGTGTGTGAGAGAGAGAGAGAGAGAGAGAGAGAGGACAACTTTGAGAAATCATTTTTCTCCTTTTATCATGTAGGTTTTGGGAATGGAACTCAGGTCATCAAACTTGGCAGTAAGTGTGTTTACCTGCTGAGTCATCTTCTTCACCCTTGAATGGCATTCTTATTGACTTTTAAATTTAAAGTATCATTAGTAAACTGAATTAATCTCCATAGCATTTGTCTTTTCTCAAGCTACAGTTTTATATGCCAATACTAATCACAGGATATGAGTCTTAAAATGTGTTTATCCTCTCAAATAAATTGCCAGCAGTAGAGCTCCTGGCCTATATCAACAAAGACCCAAACCCTCCATCCCCATTATAAAGTTCCCTGCTCTTCCTCATCTTCCTCAGTATCTTTCCACCCTCTTAAATAGCATACACACACACACACACACACACACACACACACACACACACACACACACATATATATAAAATCTCCATAGATTTGCCTGTTGTGGACATTTCATATATAGAATTATAATGGATGGTCTTGTGAATGAGTTCCTTTCCATAGTGTTTTCAAGGTTTATCCATTTGTGAATGTACCCCCCCTCCCACTATGTAGACCAGGTTTGCCTCTAATCTGGTGATTCAGTTCCTAGCACCCACATGGAAACTAACAGCCATCTGTAACTCCAGTTCCAGAGATCTGATGCCCTCTACTGGCCTCTGTGGGTATTGTATGACACGTGCACATACATACATGCAGGCCAAACATTCATTCAGATAAAATAAAAATAAATAAATCGGCTTGGGGTGGTGGCACATGCCTTTAATCCCAGCACTTGGGGAGCAGAGGCAGTGAGTTTGAGGCCAGCCTGGTCTACATAGCTAGTTCCAGGCCAGCTGAGGCTACAGAGAGACCCTGTCTCAAAAAGAGAGAAACTAAGCCGGGTGTGATGGTGCACAACTGTAGTCCCAGCACTTGGGAGGCAGAGGCAGGTGGATCTCTGTGAGTTCAAGGCCATCCTGGTCTACATAGTGAGTTCTAGGACAGCTGGGGCTAGAGGGAGACCCTGCTTCAAAAAGACAAAGGAAAAAAAAAAAATGAGAAACTTAAAAACTGACCTGTAAAGCAGGGTACTGGTGGCCCATACCTGTAGTAATATCAGAACTTAAGAACATGCCTAGCCAAAGATGCTGGGATTAAAGGCATGCAATACCACACCTGGCTTTCTCCTTTTTCACTTTGTGTTCTGAAGATAGTAGGCTTTTCCTTTCCCATCTTCTTCCCCTCCCTTTTACATCACCCACATTCTTTCTTCTTCCCTCCTCCTTTAGTCTCCTTTCTTGGATAAGCATCTTCCACTGAACTATCTAATAGGGTCTTTCTATATAGCCGTGGTTGGCCTTGAATTTTCAAAAAATTGAGTTGTATCTTTTCTAAATGGGATTCGTATTATTTGCATTTATTATTGCTATTATTATTTTAATTTATATTTTATGAGTGTTTTGCCTGCATATATGTAAGTACACTACTGTGTAATGCCTGGAGAGGCCAAAAGAGGGCATCAAATTCCTTGGAACTGGAGTTACAGACCATTGTTAGCCACTATGTGAGTCATGAGAACTGAACCTGGATCCTTTGCAAGAGCAGCAAGTGCTCTAAACCACTAATTCATGTTTCAAGGCCCTGTTTTTGTTTTAAGACGGGGCCTCCTTATAGCCCTAGTTAGCCTAGAACTTGCTATGTAGACCAGGCTGGCCTCAACCTTATAGAGATCTGCCTGCCTTCTGCCGCCTGGGTACTGGGATCAAAGCTGTGCACCACTTTGCCCTGCTATATTATTATTTTTTTGTTTTAGGTTTTTTGGTTTTTTTTTTGGTCGTTTTGAGACAGGGTTTCCCTGTAGCCCCAGCTGGCCTGGAACTCACTATGTAGACCAGGCTGGCCTTGAATTCACAGAGATCTACCTGCCTCTGCCTCCTAAGTGCTGAGATTAAAGAGCGTGCACCACAACGCCTGGCTATTTATTATTTTTAGTCGTCATATATTTAGGACTTTGAATTTCTTTTTCTTCATATTGCTGTTGGGATTTCCACTTTCTTTTTAAGGTTTTCATATTTCAAAATAACAGTTCCATTTTTTTTTTTGTGCAAAGCCAAAATTTGACTATAAATTTGTTCTTTTGAAGTCACTGGACTTAATATATCTCTAAAATTGTGATCATAGGATTTGCAGGGCAGGTTGTTGTAAGGAATATATACTTAGCATCATGCCTGACCTAGTCTAGTCTATAAATGTGAATCCATTATATATGGAAATTTGGGAAAGATTTCTTCCTCCCCATATTTTATTATAGTTATTATTTTTCAGACTATCATCTTGTGTAGCTCAGGTAGGTCCTGAACCTTTACTACAGTAAAGGGTAGTCTCTAACTCCTGATACTCTTGTCTCCACCTCCCAAGTGCTGAGATTACAGAAGTGTACCACCATACCTGTGTTTGAGATATTGGGTCTTGCTACATATCAGGCTGACCTAAAACTCGCCATTCTCCTGTCTTGGCTTTCACAGTGCTGGAATTACGAGTATACATCTTCATGTCTTCCTATCATTGGTTTCCTTAAAAATTTTATTTATGGCACTGCAACTTATATCTCCACTGTTTTATCTGATAATGTGTCTATAGCACTTTATAAAGGAATGATGAAAGGAAGTTGGCTACTGTCTTTGTTTTGTGATTAGCTAATTTTTTTTTTTTAAAGGTTTTTAATTTTGAGGGGCTGGAGGGATCTCAGGAATTAAGAGCACTGGCTGTTCTTGCAGAGGGCCCGGGTAGGGTTCCCAACATCCACATGGCACCTGTAACTCCGGTTCTAGGGAATATGTCACCTTCTGGCCTCCTTGGGCAGTGTATGCATTACCTACATGTAGGCAAAACATTCATACCCATAAAATAAAAGTTAAAAAATTTTTTAATTTTACTAATTTGTGTGTGCCCACACATGTTCACTGTGTGTGTGTGTATGCCCCCAGAGGTCAGAAGAGGGCATTGGATCCCCTAGAGCTCATTATAGGTGGTTATGAGCTAGGAACTGAACTTGGGTCTTCTGGTCCTCTGGAAGAACAGGACGTGTTCTTAACCGTTGAGCTATCTTGCCAATGCTTCATCATGTTTTTGAATTGTATCTCGATTCTTTTTTAGATTTTTAATTATGTATATATGTGGGTATATGCAGTGAGCTGAGTGACCAGAGGCTTTAATTATGTATATATGTGGGTATAATCAGTGACCAGAGGCTTCTTTGGCAAGAGAAAGTAAGGCTGTTATTTTGATGATATAATGACATTTTTTTTTTAATCCTCATCTAGTTGCCAACAGGAGACCCTATAGAGAGTACTACGTGGAGGCTTTTGGAGACCCTTCTGAAAAAGCCTGGGTGGCTGGAAAAGCAATCGTCATGTTTGAAGGCAGGCATCAGTTTGAAGAGCTACCTGTCCTTAGGAAAAGAGGGAAACAGAAAGAAAAAGGATATAGGCATAAGGTAAAAACAGTCTAAATAAAAAGAGCTCTCTACTTGTGGGTTGGCAGTATAATTTTGAAGTATACTTTTTTTTTTTTTACTCAAAGGTTCATTTCCTATGCCAGGCATGGTGGAGCACGACTTTAATCCCAGCACTTGGGAGACAGAGGCAGGCAGATCTCTGTGAGGTGGAGGCCAGCCTGGTCTATAGCCAGCTAGGGCTATAGGGAGACACTGTCTCAAACAGAAACAAAAGCAAGAGTTTATTTCATGTGATTCTTTTTAACATGCAGGGATACTTTTGTTGGAAAACTTTTTTTCTTTGTGGCTCCAGTTGGAACTGTGTATTAATTTACAAATAATAGAGTTGTGTTAAAAATAATGTTCAAAAAAGTTTTTCTGATTCTTCACATACAAAAATATCTGTAAGAAAATTTTTATGTATAAATTGTGAAGTTAGGCTGGGTGTGGTGGTGCATGCCTTTAATCCCAGGAGTGGCAGGTGGATCTCTGAATTCAAGGCCAGCCTGGTCTACATAGTGAGTTCCAGGCCAGCTGGGGTTACAGAAAGACCCTGTCTCAAAAGACCAAAAAAAAAAAAATTATGAAGTTACGTAGTTTGTTTTTCTTTGTTTAACAGTTTTATTAATTGGTGATACAGTTTGTACCTCAAGAAGCCATTAAACTTTTCTGTGTATTTCAAAATTTAGAAAAAGGCTGTGAGTCCTAACAGGGATCATGAGAATTTGAAAAGATTTATTTTTATTTTTAATTATGTGTAGTCATGTGTTTTTATGTGGGGATATGTGCTTGTGAGTACAGGTACCTAAAGAGTCCAGATGAGGGCATTGGATCCTCTGGAGCTGGCCTTCCAAGCAGTTGTGAGCTGCCTGACTTAGGTGATAGGAACCCAAATCAAGTGTTCCGCAAGAGAAGCAAGCACTCTTATTTTGGGGGAGGGGGGTTTGAGACAGGGTTTCTCTGTAACCTCTTGCCATGTAGACCAGGCAGGACCTGGACACACAGAGATCTTCTTGCCTCTGCCTCTTCAGTGCATGCACTACCACACCCAGTGCTTGTTTTTAAAGATTGACTATGTAGCCCAAGGAAGCTTCAGACTCTTGACAGTTTTGCCACAGCCTCTAAGACTGCTGAGATTATAGGCATGTGCCACCACACCTGGCTTTTAAAAATGTATTTTTTTGTCTTGATGCTGTGTTACAGTTTGCTGAGAAGAAAATTTGGCTTCTCTTGTCAAAAAAGTGTGCATGCACATGCTTGCATATTTAAGACAGAGTCTTGCTATGTAGCCTAGGCTGATCTTGATCTTCCTTCCTCAATTTTCTCCAGGTATTTGCTACTAAACTTAGCCTAGTTCTTTTTTCGAAATACATGTAATGTAAAACTACATACATTGTGTTACTAATCTTTCTGAGAGAGAGAACTTGAGCCAACCTGTGGCATGTTAGAAAAGAACTCTACTCATGAGCTATATCACCAGTTCTTGTTTCTCCCCTCCCCTCCTCTTTCTTCTCTTCTCCCTTCCTTTCCTTTCCCCTTTCCTTTCTTTTCTAAAATGGAACCTCTATACCCTTAAACAATAACTCCTTAGTTCTTTTTCCCCCAGCTCCTGGTGATTCACCATTCTCTGTTCCTGTGATTCAGTTCTTTTTTTTTTTTTGGGACAGGGTTTCCCTGTAGCCCCAGCTGGCCTGGACTTACTATGTAGACCAGGCTGGCCTCAAACTCAAAGAAATCTGCCTGCTTCGCAAGTGCTGGGATGAAAGGTGTGCACCACCATCCCCTGCTTGATTTCTTGTACTTCTACACTCAGTTATGTGTTTGTTTTGTGAAAATCGGGTCTTACTATTTTGCCCCAGTTAAACTTTTATCTCCTGGGCTCATCATAATCCTTATGTTCCAACCTCCTGAGTAGCTGGGACTATACTTAGGCAAAACCTTGCCCAGCTTTATAATAATAAGAAATAGTTCTTGGCTGGAGAGATGGCTCAGTGGTTAAGGGCACTGGCTGTTTTTGCAGAGGACCTGTATTCAGATCCCAGCACCTACATGGGAACTAAGAACCTTCTGTAACTCCAGTTCCAGGGGATCTGATGCCCTCTTCTGGCTTCCACAGACATTGTACTTAAAAAGATGAAGGAAAAGTAGTCATACACATAAAATAAAAAAATAAAATAAGTTTTTTATAACTTCAGAGATATGTCTTTTTTGATGATTTATTATTTTTATTTTATGTGCATGTGTGTATTGCCTGCATGTGGGTAAGTGCACCCATGTCATGCAGTGCCCGAGGAGGAAGAGGCTGTTGGATCCCCTGGAACTGGAGTTACAGTTGTTAGCTGCCATGTTGTGCTGGGATTTGAACCCATGTCCTCTGCAGGAATAGCCAGTGTTCTTAACTGTTGAGCCATCACCCCATAAATAAAATTTTTTAAAAAGAAATAGTTAGAACTGGGTGTGTTGGCTTTTGCTTGTAATTCCAGCACTTCACTTGGCATAGTGGTGCATGCCTATAATCCCAGCATTTGGGTGGCAGAGGCAGGCGGATCTCTTGAGTTTGAGTCCAGCTTGGTCTACATAGAGAGTTCTAGGCCAGCTGGGGCTACAGGGAGACCCTGTTTCAAAAAGACCAAAAAAAAAAAAAAAAAAAAAAAAATTCCAGCATTTAGAAAGCAGCAGTAGTGGGGCTGGAGAGATGGCTCACTGGTGATGAACGCTGGTTGTTCTTGCAGAAGACCCAGGTTTGAATCCCAGCACCCACATGGCAGCTCACAACTGTCTGTAACTCCAGTCCCCAGGGAATTCGACAGCCTCTTCTGTCCTCTGAGGGTATTGCATGGGTGCGCTTACCTACATGAAGGCAATACACTCATATACATAAAATAAAAATAATAAATATTAAAAAAAAAAAAAAAAGCAACAGCAGAACGATCACTACAAGTCTGAGGCCAGCCATGTATATGGTCTGTGTAGTGATTTCCAGGCCCTAGCCAGTGATAGATACCTAACAAAACTCATAAAAACAAACAAAGTCCGGGCATGGTGGCGCACACCTTTGATCCCGGCATTCAGGAGGCAGAGGCAGGCGGATCTCTGTGAGTTCAAGGCCAGCCTGGTCTACATAGTGAGTTCCAGGAGAGCTGGGGCTACAGGGAGACCCTGTCTTAAAAAGACCCAAAAAAAAAAACACCCAAAAACCAAAGGGCGAAAACAACAAAAACAAAAAAGGGACAGTGCTTAGATTAGTATTTATTATTCCCACATATATTAACTGTTTTTAGACTTACAAAAAATCGTAGGCTAGAGTTAAATTATGATAAACTACAACTGTAATTTATAACAAGTATTTGAGAGACTTCATCTCTAAAACTAGTATAGCAACATATTTTGTATAAATATTGTAATGTTTAGAATTATAACTGTCCTAGTTTGTTCTTCATTGCTGTGACAAAACACTGACCAATACCAACTTGGGGAGAAAAGGGTTTATTTAGCTTCCATCTCCCGGGTCACAGTTCATCTGGGAGCTCAAGGTAGGAAGCTCAGGGCAGGAACCTGGAGGCAGGAGCTGGAGCACAGGCCATGGAGGAATGCTGGTAACTGGCTTGCTCCCCTGGCCCCTGCTCAGCCTGCTTTCTTAGGCAACACAGGTCCACCTGCCCAGGGGTGGCACCACCCACAGTGTGCTGTGCCCTCCCACATCACTCAGCAATCAAGAAAATGCCCCACAGACATGGCCACAGGCCAGTCCAATGGAGGCAATTCCCTAATTGAGGCTCCCTCAACCCAGGTGTGTCAAGTTGACACTAAAGCTATCCTGCACAATAACCTTCTTGGTGCTTCATGGTCTGGAAGTGTCAGTTGTGGTTGTTTTAGCTACGTGGGTTTATCTATCCTCTAGGGCTTTCCTGTTTGGGACTACCAACATGAGTAATATTTTGTTTGTGTTTGTGTGTGAAAAAGACTGGAGGCTACTCTGGAGCATTCTAAATATTTGTGACTAGTACTTGGTAGATAGAACCTTGTCAAATACCACTGTGTATAGATACACCCAAGGAGGGAAGGGTCTGGGAAATTAGGTATATTTTAGAGTCTCATTGTCCTTATCCATGAGGAATTCAGAGAAGACCACATCTATTTTTGTATACCTAGTTTTATCTTTGTGTCTCAGGATTACATAATTATGCTTCACAGATAACTTGGTTAAAATCCAGGTTATATATAGCATGCATAGAAGAGCTTCGATTAATGATAACTAGACCTTCAAATTTCAGGCTCTGTATGTGATACATCTGATTCATTCATTCTTCCTGAATTTTTTTTTTCATATTTATCTTTGAACCTTTGGCTTTTGTCTTTATATATATATTTTATTTGTTATTTTTATTTTATGTGTATGCATGTATTGTAAGTGCACCCATGTCGTGCAATTCCTGCAGAGGACAGAAAAAGCTTGTCGGATCCCCTGGGACTGGAGTATGGACAGTTGTTTGCTGCCATGTGGGTGCTGGGATTTGAACCGGGGTCTTCTGCAAGAACAGCCAGTGTTCTTAACTGCTGAGCCATCTCTCCAGCCCATCCTTTCTTTTTGAGACAGGGCTCACTGTATAGCTTGGACTGGCCTGGAACTCCCTATGTAGACCAAGTTGACCTTGGATTTACAGAAGTATGCCTACTTCTGCCTCTGGAGTGCTGGCATTAACACCAGTGAACTGCTTTCTCTTTTTATGGATCTGATTATATGTGTATGTATGCTCTTCCTTAAGTCAGGAAGAAAATAAATCCTTAATACCGAAGTGTAGAGGAATAAATATGCAGTATCTGAGTCTTTTAGAAATGGGCCTTGCTTTAAAAATGTCATGTTTCCACTCGTAGTAAGTTAATGATCCACTCTCCGGTTCTTATAAATGCCAAGTGGTAAATTCAAATCCTTAGTGTTTGAGTTATTCCAGAAAATGGCATTAAAGAGCTATGCATGGTGGTGCATACATGTGATCCAGGTGAAGCAGGATAATTGCAGGTCTGAGGGTAACCTCACCTGAAACCCTGTCTCAGCAACAAAAAGGGGGCTTTGAATAATTAAAACAAGATTTTAGCGCACTTTTGATTTAAAAGATGCTTATTATCTCCCTGTTCTCCTTTTTTTCTTACAAATGATTTTTTTGTCCTTTTAAGGTTCCTCAGAAAATTTTGAGTAAATGGGAAGCCAGTGTTGGTCTTGCTGAGCAATATGATGTTCCCAGAGTCTCGAGTAAGAACCAAAAATGTGTCACCAGTTCAATCAAGTTGGACAGTGAAGAGGATATGCCATTTGAGGACTGTGCAAATGATCCTGAATCAGAACATGACCTACTGTTTAATGGCTGCTTGAAGTCTTTGGCTTTTGATTCTGACCATTCTGGAGATGAAAAGGAAAAGCCTTGTGCCAAGACTCTCACTAGAAAGAGCACTGATAATCTTAAAAGGACTAGTGTGAAAAAGGGCCTCATGTCATTTGAAGCACATAAAGAGGAACGGGGAAACATTCCAGAAAACCTTGGCCTAAACTTTATCTCTGGGGATGTCTCTGATAAACAGGCTTCTAATGAACTTTCCAGGATAGCGAACAGCCTTACAGGGACTAGCACTGCCCCAGGAAGTTTCCTTTTTTCTTCATGTGGGCAAAGCACTGCAAAAGCAGAATTTGAGACTTCAAATTGTGATTCTTTATTGGACTTATCTGAAGGTGCTTTGATTTCTAAACCTTCTGGGGAGAAAAGGAAACTCCAGTCAGACCTGGTATGCAGTTCAAAAGTGCAGCTCTGTTATATTGGAGCTGATGATGAGGAAAAGGAAAGTGACTCCATTAGTATATGTACCACTTCTGATGATGGGAGCAGTGATCTGGATCCTATAGAACATAGCTCAGAGTCTGATAACAGTGTTCTTGAAATTACAGATGCTTTTGATAGAACAGAAAATGTGTTATCCGTGCACAAAAATGAAACAAAGTATTCTAGGTATCCTGCCACAAATAGTAGGGTAAAAGAAAAATCAAAGTCCCTCATTACTAATTCACATTCAGACCACTTAATGGATTCTACTAAGACAGTGGAACCTGGAACTGCTGAGATCTCTCAGGTTAATCTCTCTGATCTTAAAGTCTGTACTCCTGTCCCCAAATCTCAGTCAGAATTTAGAAATGATGGTCTCTCTCCAAAATTCAACCCACCATCAGGCATTTCTAGTGAAAACTTCCTAATAAAGGGTGGGACTATAAATGAAGCTCTAATACCCTTGAAAAGCAAACAGCCCAAGTTCCGAAGCATAAAATGCAAACATAAAGATAACTCAGCAGTTGTAGAACCTGCAGTTACGAATGAGGACCACAATTTGAAATGCTCCTCTTCTGATACCAAAGGCTCCTCTTTGGCCAGCATATCCAAAAGTGGGAAAGCAGATGGACTGAAGCTACTGAACAATATGCATGAGAAAAGCAGAGATTCAAGTGACATAGAAACAGCAGTGGTGAAGCATGTTCTGTCAGAATTGAAGGAACTCTCTTATAGATCTTTAAGTGAGGATGTCAGTGATTCTGGAACATCAAAACCATCAAAACCTTTACTATTTTCTTCTGCTTCTAGTCAGAATCACATACCTATTGAACCAGATTACAAATTTAGTACATTGCTAATGATGCTGAAAGATATGCATGATAGTAAGACCAAGGAACAAAGATTGATGACTGTTCAAAACCTGGCCTCTTACCGGAGTCCTGATCGAGGGGACTCTTCTACCAGCAGTCCTATAGGGGCTTCCAAGGTTTTGGTTTTAGGAGGTTCCACCCGCAATTCAGAAAAAACTGGAGATGATACTCAGGACTCTGTCCGGCCTAGCCCTAGTGGGGGTAACTCTTCATTGTCTAGGGAGTTGTCTTCTTCCCTACCTGTCTTAGCTTCTAACAGAAGAGACCTCCCTACTTATGGCAAAAGTCGCTCAAACTGTATTACTAGGCGCAACTGTGGTCGAGGAGGAAAGCCATCATCCAAATTAAGAGAAGCCCAGATGGCAAAGAGCACAGTGAACCGGAAAGCCTTAAAGACAGAGCGCAAAAGAAAATTGAACCGCCTTCCAGCTGTGACTCTTGAAGCTGCTCTGCTGGGAGACAAAGAAAGTGGCAGCTCAGTGAATGGCCCATCAAGGGGTGGGGCAGAAGATCTGGGTAAAAAAGAGCCTCTTGAATTAACAAGTGAAGACACCCATTTTTCTGAAGTACATTTTGATAACAAGGTTAGCCTGTCTGACCCTGATAAAATTCCTGAAAAAGAACCTCCTTTTGAGAAGAGAAAATGCCCAGAGCTGGGCTCTGAAATGAAGAGTGAGAATGATGAACTCCGTGGTATAAATCAAGTGGTACCTAAAAAGCGGTGGCAGCGATTAAACCAAAAGCGCCCTAAACCTGGAAAACGCACTAACAGATTTAGGGAGAAGGAAAACTCTGAGGGTGCCTTTGGAGTCTTGCTTTCTTGTGACGTTGTACAGAAGGGGAGGGATGATTACCTGGAGCAAAGAACTCTTCCTACAAGTATACTTGAGAACTCAACAGACCCCAATCACACCAGCTGCTCAGATTCGGTTGGGTCACATTTGAATGTTTGTGATAAATCCAGTGCTGGCATGGAGAGTACTTGTGATAAATCCATTGTCAGTATGGACAGTGTGGAAAAGGAGACAGGACTTCCCAGTTTGACTCCACAGACCAAGCTCCCTGAACCAGGTAAGAACTAATGTCTGTGGTAGAAAGGAATTGAAGAAATTGATGTGTTGCTTTTCTGAAGTTGGTCTGTTTTAATGGCAAGGTGAGTTATAAACTTGGAGAGGAAGGTTATCACTTTAATAAGAGTGAAATTTGAAGATCAGATTTATGTATATTTGTAGACATTTTTTTTCCACTACTGGGGATTGAACCTAGGACCTCATGCATGCTAGTCAAGTGAGTTATATCCTCCAGTGATATAGACTTTTTTTTAGTCAGAAGCCTTTTTGTCCCTTATATTTTTGCTCCTGTTCCTAATTTTCTTTTTTAAATTCTTGTTCTTTATATTGGTTGTGCGCCTGAGCCTTTAATGGCTGTGCCAGCTCTCCAGCCTGTGTTTTTTATTTTACATGTATTTGAGTGTTGCCTGTATGTATGTAAGTTACACCTGTGTTGTACAATACCCACAGAGGCCAGAAGAGGGCATTGGATCCCCTGGAACTGGAATTAAAGATGGTTGTAAGCTGCTATGTGGGTGCTGGGAACCAAACTAGGGTCCTCTGTAAGAGTAACCACTGAGCAATGTCTCTAGCCCCCTGTTCCCAGTTTCTTAACATTATAAAATTGACTGACATTTTGGGACTGAGTAGGTAATTGAGAGGCTGTAGGCCTGAAGTTCAAGTCCAGATGTTAGTGTATAAGTAGCAAAATAGACTTTATTAGATAGTAGGCTTTCTTTGATCACAATTTAAGATATTCATGTAGACAAAAGAGATGTGCTAAGAAACCCAATCCCATATACTACCTTTTCACTCTGTTGTGTCTTAATGTTTTGGGAGAGACATTTTAAAGTCTAGTGGAATGGTATTTGACTGTTTTTACTTTTGATACTTTGAGTTTCATGACCAGGAAGCCACTGTCTATGTCAGTGCTATAAAATTCTTCCCTAATGTTTTAGGAGTTTTATACTTTCAGGAATTGTACCTGTTTTGTTGTTGCTGTTGTTATTGTTATTATTTTTTTTTGGTCTCTTTTGAGATGGTCTCCTTGTAGCCCCAGCTGTCCTGGAACTTACTATGTAGACCATGCTGGCCTCGAACTCACAAAGATCCACCTGCCTCTGCCTCCCGAGTGCTGGGATTAAAGGTGTGCGCCACCATGCCCGGCTATTAATTTTTTTTAATGTAGTGGAAGGTAAACGTTCTTCAGTCTTTTGATGTGGGTGTACAGTTTTCCCCTCATTTGTTGAAGAAGCTATGCTTTCCCTTTGTGTGATCTTCTTGAGTAGCATTATTAAGGATCCCTTGACCTTTTATGGTTATTTCCAGTCTCTATTCTTTTGGTTTGTATGTCTGTGGTTTATGTTGCTACCATACTGTTTTAAATTACCAGAGCTTTGTGACATGTTTTGAAATCAGTAAGTATAAGATATCCAGCTTTTACCTTAAAGATTATTTTGTATATTTAGTGGTTCTTTGATATTCCATATGAGTTAGGATTCTTCTGCCCCCACCTCCTCCTCAATTCCTTAATACTAGGCTTATATTATAGTGGACCTCAACATACCTGCTATCTTTTTTTTTTTTTTTGAGATGGGTTGTATCTCTGTTATGCTAGGTTGATCCTGAACTCCTGACCCAAGTGATTCTTAACAATCTCTGAGTAGCTGAGACTAGAGGTGCATCAGTTGTATCTGGTTGCTCCTGGGGTTTTGATAGGGATTCTAAGTCAATCTTTAGTTTGCTTTGTGTACTATAGTTGTTTATAATATTGTTTTCTAGCCTATGAATGCAGGATACTTTTCTGCGTGTGCTTTAGTTTAACTCAGTGTTTTGTAAATATCCATGCATATATAACTCCTCCGTGTGTGTGTGTGTGTGTGTGTGTGTGTGTGTAGCATGTGTATGTGTATTTGGGTACCTTGTAGCTCCGGCCTCCCTGGAACTCAACAAATACAAGCCTTGAATTTGCAGACAAGACTTCCCTAGGCTAGGATTACAGGCATGTGCCGCCTTGACTGAGACTGGTCTAGTTATTTTTTATAATTGTGTCTGTTACATTCTTTATCAGAATTAGAAGTGTATTATACACTACTGTTGTAACTCTCTTACCAGTATTCAGTGTATAACATATTTATCTTTGCCAGCAAGCGTTTATGTTGTATGCATTCTGTTGCTGTCTGGAGTCTTTAGTTCAAGTTTCAGGACTCCCTTTAGTATCTTGAGGTGATAAACTCCCTCAATTTTGTTTGTCTGGAAAAATCTGCTTTTCTTTCAGTTTTGAAGGGCTGCTTTGCTTGCTGTCCTTGGCTTGCAGTTTTTCCTCTTTCAGTACTCTGAATATATTCTAATTCTTTCCGGCCAGTAAGAGTTAAGAAATATGTTGAAAATTTAACGTGAACTCCCTTATATGTGATAAATTGCTTTTCTTGGTGCTTTCAGTATTCTCTTTCAGTAGTCTTCACCTGCTTTCTTTGATTTTCAACAGTTCAGTTGTGTATCACTTCTTTGCATTCTTGTTGCGCCCCTCCCCCTGTAGTTTTGTATATCATTATCAGCACCTTTATAGCAGTGTGCTCTATGACTGAGGTATGCACCCCAGCCTATTTGGAGTTGTTTAAACTTTAATCTCTATGTCTCCTTCTTCCTCAGATTTGGGAAATCTTTAAGTAAAGTTTCAGTTCCTTCTCTTTTTCTTTTTGAATTATACTATGTAGTATATTGGTACACTTGATGTGTCTTTTCCCTGTGTTTTCTTCCTGCTTTTTTTTCTTTTTTTCTATGACACCCCCCCCCCCTTATTTTTTTTTGACAGTCTCCCTGTAGCACCAGCTGGCCTGGAACTTGCTATGTAGAGATTTCATAGAGATCCACCTGCCTCTGCTTTCCTAACTGCTGGAATTAAAGGTCTATGCCACCATGCTGGCCTTTTCTATTCCTTTGATTACATAATTTCATATGACCTCCTTTTTTTGGGAGAGTTTGATGGTTAGTATCAATTTGACCCAACCTGTAATCATCTGGGGAGATGGGCCTCTGAGCATACCTATTAGGGATTTTCCTGATTATGTTAATTGATATGGGAAGATTCTTAATTGTAGGTGAGAATTGGGCTGTATTGGGGAGAAAGCAAGCTACGCTAGCATATGTTCATTCACTGATCTCTTCTGACTGTGGATGTAATGTGACTAGTTGCCTTAAGCTCTGACTTGAATTGTAAGTTAAACTGTTTCTCCCTAGGTTGCTTTTTGTCATAGCAACAAAAAAAAGAAATGCAGACATGGAGTGTGGGCAGGTGCTGGGGATTGAACCCTGGCCTCATGTATGCTAAGTAAGCACTCTGCCACAGAGCCAGACCCTTTGAATTATCTCTTTTGAATTTGCTGTTTTTCTTTCCCACTGCTTGTTCAAATTTGCTGTTGAAGTCCCTTAGTTAAAATTTTCAGTTTAGGCTGGGTGTGGTAGTGCACACCTTTAATCCCAGCAGAGGCAGGAGAATCTCCTGAGTTCCCGGTCAGCTGGGGCTACAGAAAGACCCTGTCTCAAAAAGACCAAAACAAAATTTTCAGTTTAGTTCTGTTCTTCAGTGTCAGATGTGTTTGTTTTTAAGTTTTCCTTGTGGTGGATTTTATTTTCATGTTGTTCATGCACTGATTTCTTTTTTTTGTTATTTTTATGTATGTGTGTTATTGCTTGTGTGTAGGTAAGTGCACCCATGTCATGCAATGCCTGCAGAGGACAGAAGACTGTCAGATTCCCCTGGAACTGGAGTTATGGACAGTTGTTAGCTGCCATGTGGGTGCTGGGATTCAAACCCTGGTCTTCTGCAAGAACAGCCAGTGTTGTTAACCGCTGAGCCATCTCTCCAGCCCCATGCATTGATTTCTTAATTTCATTTAGTTGTGTATGTTATCTTGTATATAATTAAGTTTATTAGGCAACAATTTTGAGTTCATCAGGTTATTCATAGATACCTATTTCCATGGAGGTGGCTTGTGGTGATTCCTCCCCCCCTTTTATTGGGTCATATTCCAACCTTCATCCTCCAACCCTCTCACCCACCTCACAAAGAGAAGCTGCTGTTGGATTTGAGCTCTATTGTTTTGGTGAGGGAGCAGTTACTGTGAAAGTAAAAGGGGTATTTTTTTTTTTTTTTTTGAAAAAGGGTCTCCCAGTAGCCCCAGCTGGCCTGGAATTCATTATGTAGACCAGGCTGGCCTCGAAGATCCACCTGCCTCTGCCTCCCAAGTGTTGGGATCAAAGGTGTGTGCCACCATGCCTGTCAAAAGTGGTCTTCTTACCATTTTTATTGTGGTGATTGTTGTCTTAGTACTCAGCCTGAGGGATTACAATATCCTTAAGTGTTTTTTAGAGTTCTCATAAAGGTGTTTCGACCCCAGTTGTTGCTAATTTACCATCTTTGGGAAAAACAAGGATTGGGACTATATTTTGCAATTTATTGATTTTTTTTTTTTTTGGGTCTTTTGCCCTGTAGCTTCAACAGGCCTGGAACTCAGAGAGATCCACCTGCCTCTGCCTCTACCTCCTGAATAATGGGATCAAAGGCATGCACCACCACACCTGGCTAAATAAATTATTTTATTTTCTATATGTATGAGTGTTTTCCGTGCATGTATGTAAGTGCACCAATGCATGCATTGCCCCCGGAGGCCAGAAGAGGGTGTTGGATCCCCTGGAACTGGCATTAAGGATGTTTTTGAACTGCCATGTGGTTATGGGGAACCAGACTCGGGTCTTCTGCAGCCAGTGCTCTTAACTTCTGTGCCATCTATCTCCAGCCCCATTTTTAGTTTCTTTATAGTGAAAGAAATATTTATATTTCTTTATATTGTTTCACAGTTTTCATTATGTAACTGTTTTATACTTCGGTTAAATCCCTTTTTAAAAATGTAGGTGCTAGGAATTGAAACCTCATCCTCTGCAAGAGCAGCTAGTGCTGTTAACCACTAAGCCATCTCCCCAGCCCCTAAATCTTTTTTATTTTATATTTTAGGTTTTTCA